TGGTTGGTTGGTTGGTTGGTTGGTTTTCTGTTTGGCTGGTTGGTTGGTTGGTTGGCTGTTTGGCTGGTTGGTTGTTTGGTTGGTTGGTTGGTTGGTTGGTTGGCGGGTTTGGTTGGTTTGTTGTTTGTCGCTTGTTGCTTGGCTGTTTGGCTGGTTGGTTGGTTGGTTGGTTGGTTGGTTGGTTGGTTGGTTGGTTGGTCGTTTGGTTGGTTGGTTGGTTGGTTGGTTGGCTGGCTGGTTGGTTAATTGGTTAATTGGTTGGTTGGTTGGTTGGTTGGTTGGTTGGTTGGCCGTTTGGCTGGTTGGTTGGTTGGTTGGTTGGTTGTTTGGTTTGTTGGTTGGTTGGTTGGTTGGGTTGGCTGTTTGGCTGTTTGGCTGGTTGGTTGGTTGGTTGGTTGGTAGGTTGGTTGGTTGGTTGGTTCGTTGGTTCGTTGGCCGTTTGGCTGGTTGGCTGGTTGGTTGGTTGGTTGGTTGGTTGGTTTGCGGGTTGGGTTGGTTCGTTGTTTGTCGCTTGTTGCTTGGCTGTTTGGCTGGTTGGTTTCTTGGTTGGGTTGGCTGTTTGGCTGGCTGGCTGGCTGGCTGGCTGGCTGGCTGGCTGGCTGGCTGGCTGGCTGACTGCTTTGGTTGGTTGGTTGGTTGGTTGGTTGGTTGGTTGGTTGGTTGGTTGGCCGTTTGGCTGGTTGGTTGGTTGGTTGGTTGGTTGGTTGGTTGGTTGGTTGGTTGGTTGGTTGGTTGGTTGACGGGTTGGCGGGTTGGGTTGGTTCGTTGTTTGTCGCTTGTTGCTTGGCTGGTTGGCTGGTTGGTTGGTTGGTTGGTTGGTTGGCTGGTTGGTTGGTTGGTCGGTTGTTTGTTGCTTGTTGCTTGGCTGGTTGGTCGGTTGGCTGGTTGGTCGGTGGGTTGGTTGGTTGGTTGGTTGGCTGTTTGGCTGGTTGGCTGGTTGGTTGCTTAGTTGGCTCTTTGGCTGGCTGGCTGGCTGGCTGGCTGGCTGGTTGGTTGGCGGGTTGGGGTCGTTTATTATTTGTGCTTGTTGCCTGGCTCTTTGGCTGGTTGGTCGGTTGGTCGATTGGTCGGTTGGTCGGTTGGTCGGTTGGTCGGTTGGTCGGTTGCTTGCTTGCTTGCTTGCTTGCTTCCTCGTTTGGTTGGTTGGTTGGTTGGCTGTTTGGCTGGTTGGTTGGTTGGTTGGTTGGTTGGTTGGCTGTTTGGCTGGTTGGTTGGTCGGTTGGTTGGTTGGCTGGTTGGTCGTTTGGTTGGTTGGTTGGTTTGTTGGTTGGTTGGCTGTTTGGCTGTTTGGCTGTTTGGTGGGTTCGTTGGTTGGTAGACGGGTTGGGTTGGTTGGTTGTGTGTTGCTTGTTGCTTGGCTGTTTGGCTGGTTGGTTGGTTGGTTAGTTGGTTGGCTGGCTGGTCGTTTGGTTGGTTGGTTGGTCGGTTGGTTGGTTGGTTGGTTGGTTGGTTGGTTGGCCGTTTGGCTGGTTGGTTGGTTGGTTGGTTGGTTGGTTTGTTGGTTGGTTGGTTGGTTGGCTGGTTGGTCGTTTGGTTGGTCGTTTGGTTGGTTGGTTGGTTGGTTGGTGGGTTGGTTGGTTGGTTGGTTGGTTGGTTGGTTGGTTGGTTGGTTGGCCGTTTGGCTGGTTGGTTGGTTGGTTGGTCGGTTGGTTGGTTGGTGGGTTGGCTGGTTGGCTGGTTGGTTGGTTGGTTGGCTGGTTGGTCATTTGGTTGGTTGGTTGGTTGGTTGCTTGCTTGCTTGGTTGGTTGGTTGGTTGGTTGGTTGGCTGTTTGGCTGGTTGGTTGGTTGGTTGGTTGGTTGGCGGGTTTGGTTGGTTCGTTGTTTGTCGCTTGTTGCTTGGCTGTTTGGCTGGTTGGTTGGTTGGTTGGTTGGTTGGTTGGTTGGTTGGTTGGTTGGTTGGTTGGTTGGTTGGTTGGTCGTTTGGTTGGTTGGTTGGTTGGTTGGTTGGTTGGTTGGTGGGTGGGTGGGTTGGTTGGTTGCTTGGTTGGCTGTTTGCCTGGTTGCCTGGTTGCCTGGTTGGTTGGTTGGTTGGTTGGTTGGTTGGTTGGTTGGTTGGTTGGTTGGTTGGTTGGTTGGTTGGTTGGTTGGTTGGGTTGGCTGGTTGGTCGTTTGGTTGGTTGGTTGGTTGGTTGGTTGGCTGGTTGGCTGTTTGGCTGGTGGGTTGGTTGGTTGGTTGGTTGGTTGTTTGGCTGTTTGGCTGGTTGGTTGGTTGGTCGGTCGGTCGGTCGGTCGGTTGTTCGGTCGGTCGGTCGGTCGGTTGGTTGGTTGGTTGGTTGGTTGGTTGGCTCCTTGGCTGGTTGGTTGGTTGGTTGGTCGGTCGGTCGGTCGGTTGTTCGGTCGGTCGGTCGGTTGTTCGGTTGGTTGGTTGGTTTCTTGAAGGAAGAAAGGAGACGCAGGAAGTTCAGCGAAGACTCCCCCAGTTGAACTTAAAGGTTCCCTCTTTGTTTGACAAGCTACCAAGAGAGCTCGACAAAACCAAACTTGGATTTTTGTATGTTC